CAGAGCGGCCTGGCGACTTTGGTGACTCGTCCGCGTTCGATGGCGACGCGGTGGCCGGCGAGGCTGGCACGACGGCCAGCTTCACGGTGGAGACGCACGAAACGACCACCTCGGTGAGCACGACCTCGGTGAGCACGACGGAGGAGACCGCCACCTTCGACGCACCCGCAGCAGACTTCGGTGCGGCGGCAGACTTTGACGCACCGGCAGCAGACTTTGACGCACCGGCAGCTGACTTTGGTGCGGCAGCAGACTTCGGCCCGCCCGCCGAATCTTCAGCACCCGACTTCGGTGCCGCAGCAGAGCGGCCTGGCGACTTTGGTGACTCGTCCGCGTTCGATGGCGACGCGGTGGCCGGCGAGGCTGGCACGACGGCCAGCTTCACGGTGGAGACGCACGAAACGACCACCTCGGTGAGCACGACCTCGGTGAGCACGACGGAGGAGACCGCCACCTTCGGTGCGGCGGCAGACTTTGACGCACCGGCAGCAGACTTTGACGCACCGGCAGCAGACTTTGACGCACCGGCAGCTGACTTTGGTGCGGCAGCAGACTTCGGCCCGCCCGCCGAATCTTCAGCACCCGACTTCGGTGCCGCAGCAGAGCGGCCTGGCGACTTTGGTGACTCGTCCGCGTTCGATGGCGACGCGGTGGCCGGCGAGGCTGGCACGACGGCCAGCTTCACGGTGGAGACGCACGAAACGACCACCTCGGTGAGCACGACGGAGGAGACCGCCACCTTCGACGCACCCGCAGCAGACTTCGGTGCGGCGGCAGACTTTGACGCACCGGCAGCAGACTTTGACGCACCGGCAGCTGACTTTGGTGCGGCAGCAGACTTCGGCCCGCCCGCCGAATCTTCAGCACCCGACTTCGGTGCCGCAGCAGAGCGGCCTGGCGACTTTGGTGACTCGTCCGCGTTCGATGGCGACGCGGTGGCCGGCGAGGCTGGCACGACGGCCAGCTTCACGGTGGAGACGCACGAAACGACCACCTCGGTGAGCACGACCTCGGTGAGCACGACGGAGGAGACCGCCACCTTCGGTGCGGCGGCAGACTTTGACGCACCGGCAGCAGACTTTGACGCACCGGCAGCTGACTTTGGTGCGGCAGCAGACTTCGGCCCGCCCGCCGAATCTTCAGCACCCGACTTCGGTGCCGCAGCAGAGCGGCCTGGCGACTTTGGTGACTCGTCCGCGTTCGATGGCGACGCGGTGGCCGGCGAGGCTGGCACGACGGCCAGCTTCACGGTGGAGACGCACGAAACGACCACCTCGGTGAGCACGACGGAGGAGACCGCCACCTTCGACGCACCCGCAGCAGACTTCGGTGCGGCGGCAGACTTTGACGCACCGGCAGCAGACTTTGACGCACCGGCAGCTGACTTTGGTGCGGCAGCAGACTTCGGCCCGCCCGCCGAATCTTCAGCACCCGACTTCGGTGCCGCAGCAGAGCGGCCTGGCGACTTTGGTGACTCGTCCGCGTTCGATGGCGACGCGGTGGCCGGCGAGGCTGGCACGACGGCCAGCTTCACGGTGGAGACGCACGAAACGACCACCTCGGTGAGCACGACGGAGGAGACCGCCACCTTCGACGCACCCGCAGCAGACTTCGGTGCGGCGGCAGACTTTGACGCACCGGCAGCAGACTTTGACGCACCGGCAGCTGACTTTGGTGCGGCAGCAGACTTCGGCCCGCCCGCCGAATCTTCAGCACCCGACTTCGGTGCCGCAGCAGAGCGGCCTGGCGACTTTGGTGACTCGTCCGCGTTCGATGGCGACGCGGTGGCCGGCGAGGCTGGCACGACGGCCAGCTTCACGGTGGAGACGCACGAAACGACCACCTCGGTGAGCACGACGGAGGAGACCGCCACCTTCGACGCACCCGCAGCAGACTTCGGTGCGGCGGCAGACTTTGACGCACCGGCAGCAGACTTTGACGCACCGGCAGCTGACTTTGGTGCGGCAGCAGACTTCGGCCCGCCCGCCGAATCTTCAGCACCCGACTTCGGTGCCGCAGCAGAGCGGCCTGGCGACTTTGGTGACTCGTCCGCGTTCGATGGCGACGCGGTGGCCGGCGAGGCTGGCACGACGGCCAGCTTCACGGTGGAGACGCACGAAACGACCACCTCGGTGAGCACGACCTCGGTGAGCACGACGGAGGAGACCGCCACCTTCGACGCACCCGCAGCAGACTTCGGTGCGGCGGCAGACTTTGACGCACCGGCAGCAGACTTTGACGCACCGGCAGCTGACTTTGGTGCGGCAGCAGACTTCGGCCCGCCCGCCGAATCTTCAGCACCCGACTTCGGTGCCGCAGCAGAGCGGCCTGGCGACTTTGGTGACTCGTCCGCGTTCGATGGCGACGCGGTGGCCGGCGAGGCTGGCACGACGGCCAGCTTCACGGTGGAGACGCACGAAACGACCACCTCGGTGAGCACGACGGAGGAGACCGCCACCGTCGATTCTATTGGCTTACCTGCTGAAGATATGAAGCTTGGTGGGGCATCCGGGCATGGCTCTAGCTGTAATGAAGCTGCCGCGAAGCCAGATATCGATTTTGATATCGACGCAGGTTTCTCGGATGCGATGGAGTTCGAGGACTCGGTCGTCATGGCGGAGTTTGAGGCTGCTGCCGCCACTTCTTCTGAAAAGGCAGCACGAGATATTAGCTTTGACGACGAGTTTGACGAGATTTTTGGCGATGCTCCGGCGAACCCTGTTGGGACAGCTTCCACTGGTGATGAAAATGCGAATGCATCCTCTGAAGTTGCAGCTCAGCTTGACAAGTACGATGAGGAGTTTGACGAGATATTCGGTGATGCGGAACAACGGCAAACGGAAACCACAGAGAATACCGACAAGGACGCGCCTAAGAAGGACCCCAGTGCTGTGAGTGATGGAGACCAATCCGTCTCCGGTGTGGAAGTACGCATAGGAACGCCTGCATCAGACTTTTCATTCCGCTAGCAGATAGATTATCGACAAAGATACACAACACAATACAGCGCGGCAAAGAACTAGGTATAAGGCAAACGGAAAGTGTTTTTGAGAGATGATGCCACGCGAAATGGAGCTACTTCTTGAACCACCGCACTCTACCTACCTTCTACTCTCTTGGAGCCTTGATTACTTGCAGCCACTGACCGCTTCACTTAAACGTATTGAAGTCGCGAACCTCGTTCACAATTTCTAGGGCGCGCTGGAGTAGTGTTCGCATCTCGTCGCAGTTCGAGCGTCGGGCAGCAATGTCGCCCGTCTCGGCCAACAGCTCCGAGAGCTTGTCCTCGCGGTATAGGGATGACACGAGCTCGTTCTGAATATTCTCCTTCGAGTGCCCCACCATGAAGCACATAATGGCCTTGGGCACCAGATCCAGGAAGTTTTTCCGCACGATATCGAAGTAAGACGCGAGTAGACTCTTGATAATTTCCGTCTCGATGCGTTCCCGGTCCGTCGGGTCATCGCCCTGCCGCATGCTCACTGGTACCTGAGGAAGCTTGACGACTGCAGGCTTTGAGCTCGTGACGCCATCCGCGCCGCTTTTCTTGCGACCGCCACCAAAGAACGACAGCAGGCCGTTGCCTTCCTGCTTCTCCTCAGCGGCGCCAGCGTGTCCAGCTGGAGCGGCGCTTTGCTTTACTGGCTGTCCGGCGCGGCGCGGGTCCTGGTTAATCATTTGGTTGGTAGGGGCTCCCGCGGACGCCATCGTCTCGCGCTGCATCTTCTCCATCAGCTGTGCAACCGCGCGACTACCGCCAATGAAGTCCGGGTGGTTTGTGTTCACGTAAGCCAACTCAATCTGAATAAGGTTCTGAATCATAGCTTGCGTCGGCACCAACGAAGCACGGAGCATGCCGTTGACCACTTCCATGACGCGGTCGCGCAGCTCGGGGAAGCGCGTGAGCTCGATCGTCTCGCACTGCGACGTCACGCGCTGCAGCTCGTCAAAGACAAGGTCTACACACTGCAGGCCGGGCTGCTCCAACCTGCTGATCTGGCGCTTGGCGAGCAGCTCGAACGATACTTCCGGAACGAACAGCGACTGGCGCGGGCCGTTGGCGTTGCGAATCGTGGTGCGGATGTCCTCGTCGCTGAGTCCATCAAATGGGTTGACCTCACGAAGTGACTTGGAAAAGATCTCGTTGAAGATGTAGTTGATGCGCGCGCCGCCGTAGAGCTCGTCCATTTCCACGAGCTGGTGGTTGCGTCCGTCCAGCGAGTTGGTGAAGTTGCTGGAGAAGTGCGACAGCAGGTTCAGCAGGCAGCCGCCCATTTCCCGTGGGGCGACATTTGCTCCGTGGGGGAGCCCATCTCGCCGAGTTCCTGATCGAGGTCAGAGATCATGCTGCTGATCTTGGACTTGA